GTTAGCCAATCGGACAAGGTAGTTAGATATTCTTTTAAGAGAGGGAAGTTAATGGGGTTGGTTTGGCTGTGCAATTTGCTCAGCCAAACCAGCCCCGTTTTTTTTTTTCTTTTGGAAGGATGGGAGTTAAATAACTTAGACATTTTTAGTTTAGTTAGGACAGCTGCTCCAGTCAAGAGATTAGTAAGACCTCCGATGCCCAAAATTGAAATTGAAAGTATTCCTTCTGTTTCAATATATGTGAAGATGTTTGACTGAGCACAAAGTTTAAGAATGAAGGGAAGACTTTGGAAACTTGTGGTCCAAATAAAGCCATAGAAATTTGTGTGGCTATAAATCATCTCATCAAGGATAAAATGGGAAGTTTTAATAAATTGTAACTTAATATAGAAGGTGTCATTCTTTTTGGTACTGACTAAAATGGAAAGAGTGTCGCATAGAATTTGGGACGGAGGGAGTATCTGATTGTTTTGTTATTTGACTAAATAGCTCTTTCCATTTCTTCTTGGTGTCTACATCCTTGTGGCTCGGAAAGTACCTCAGTTCGCTGGAAAATTATGAAGGTAGACCTCAACTTGAGAAGCTACAATTTTATCTTCATTGTCATGTTTTCATGTCTTTAATTTCAGACATAAAGAGTAAAGACTATCTCCAAACTTGAAACTTCAGCTTTAACGTTTCAAATTTAATGCTTCATGCCTTCACCAGGAATTGGAGCTTCTCTAGGGAAAACAATTTGATGGCCATTGAGTTCCCAGTTAAAACTTTCACAGGTCAATAGATATACTCTTGTCCAGGTGGGGACTCTAGAAGTTGTGGTGCATGGTTGGCGAGTGACAAGGAGGCTGGGAAAGGTAAAGGGGATTGACTGGAGGTGATGGGAGCTGGAGATACAGAAGTGAAGAGTGATAGTAGTGGTGGGGAGAGGGAGTAAGGGAGTGATAAGTGGCCGGAGAAGAGTGGATAAGTGCATGGGAATGGAGCACCTGAAGGCGGAAAGGGAACAGCTGGTATGGGGTTTGTAATGGATTGGAATTTTGTCTTAATCTTGAAGCCTAGTTCTTCTTTCCTTGTTTTCTCTTTTTGCCATTTGGTCTTTTTGGGGAATAACAGTGACGAGGGTTAAATAGGAAACAGTTAGCATTTAACATCACTGCTATATGACTTTTAATATTGAAAGTTAATGACTGCTGAGATTCCTAAACTGACAGTTAGAGGGGAGGTATTATGTATTTCCAATTTAGAGGGGAGGTCTATGTAGTTGCACTAAATTACAAGAAGTAAAAATAATTGGCTGTTTTCTGGTTGCTATTTGATTCATCTAAACATTTAAATCTGAATAAGAGAATCTACAAAGTAAATAGACTATCAAAGACGATTAGATGAAAATGCTTTTTGGATGCAAGCTCTCGTAAAAGGGTGATTTAGAGGCTGCAACTCATGGACATGATTGAAATCTTCAAATGAAGACAATGACAGAGAATTGGCTATATTAGGCATTTGAGTTTTATGACTTCACAATATGCAGACTGTAAGATCCCGTGGTGAGAGGTCATTTGGGCATCTGATAACAGTTTTACATCAAGAGTCTATTGAAGGACCATTGTACATTTTTCACATAGAACTATAAAATTTAGGAGAAAATGTTGATACAGAAAGAGAACCATAGACCCATATTTCTGAAATATATAAATGCTGTTGCCCTGCTTCAGTTTAGGTTTCACTGGAGTGTTTTCACATATATGTTCTGAGGGTAGTATCTGTGCATTTTCTTTTGTAAAAGATCACCATTTCATGTGCAATTAAAAATATTATTATGCGACTTTACATGAGCAGTTTCAGCACCCTGTGTACCACACTAGTGACTTTCTGTAGAGACATCCAGATCCTAGCACTAGTCTCTGTTTTACTTTGGCAGCTATACATGGCTGTCAGAATTTTAGCCAATCGCATGTAGTTAAGATAGATCTATTTGATAGAATGTACAGATGATTCAGCTATATGCAATTCCAATGATCGTAAACCCTGATTGCTCCTCTTTTCATGTTGAAATTCTCATATAACCATTGTTTTAAGTAACTAGTCTGTGGACTGACATTTTAGTTTCCTAATCTGGTCCAGTTAGAAAAGGAGGCTCTTACAAAGGGGGTCCCAATAAGTCAAGCACTTGACATTGAAATTCCTCCTCCACGACCTAAAAGGAAACCAAGTAATCCTTATCCTCGTAAGACGAGCGTAGCAGTTCCCTCATTACAGGTGGGAGCAAAAGATGGGAAATTTTCGACACCTTTTTCTTCCATCTGTGAGGAAAGGAACTTATTTGACCTGGAGAAAGAACCGATTACTGAGGTATGGGTTTCTCTTGATCTTGCACATCTTTTACTTTGTTTTCTTTGAAGGCCTAGTTGTATTCTTGTTCTTTATCAGAAATCTGGCAGAAACGAGAAGCTGGGCAATGTACAAGAAACCCAGAACAAGAAAAATTGCTCCCAAGGGTTCACTCTTTTCAAAGAAGGTGCTTCTGCAGCCTCTCTGTCTTCAGGAAAGTCCTTGCAAACACATGTGGCACCAACAGATGCATGTGCTTTTAGTGAGTCTGTGCCTGTCACCAAAGGAGAGGTTAACCATGATATAGCAAATAAATCTTTTCTCACTGTTGAATCCAAAGAACATCAACAGTCAGAAATACTCGATATCAGACAGTCCTTTCAAGGTAACAGCTCCTGTAACATCTTCGACGGGGGGAAATCTTGCCAGTCGAGTGAAAAGTTGGCACAAGGTGAGAAAAAACATCCACCGAGTCAGCCAGATCATTTGGGGGAATTCTCAAGAAATGATATGCAAGTGCTACACAACTATCCAAGACATGTGCCAGTGCATATTCTTGATGGAACAAATGGTTCTCAAATATCCCCAGATATGTTTAATCATGAATCTACGAGTCAGCAGATAGGTGGGGTCCCGGCGCTCCCAAATTTGTATTCTAACCCTGCTTCATCCGCCACATCTGAGTACCATAGTAATTCTCCACAGTCATCCATTCATCAGTCATTTTCTTGTTTCCACCCCATCTTCACCCCTATTCGTGATCCAGACGATTACCGATCGTTTCTTCAATTATCCTCCACTTTCTCCAGCCTTATTGTTTCTGCTTTATTGCAAAACCCAGCAGCACATGTTGCAGCAAGTTTTGCCGCTAGCTTTTGGCCTTATGCAAATATGGAACGTCCAACGGATTCTCCAACAGATAACACCGCTAGCCAGATTAACTCAGCTCCTGGTATGGCAGCAATTGCTGCTGCCACAGTAGCAGCTGCAACTGCATGGTGGGCAGCCCATGGGCTCTTACCATTGTGCTCTCAATTTCAAAGCAGTTTTACCTGTGTTCCTACATCAGCAACATCAATGCAAGTGGATGCCTGTCAACCTAGAGTAGACAAGAATGAAGGAAGAGAGGGAACTCATAATTCTCCCCATGCTCAGGAACCCGTCCCAGAATGCTCTGAAGCTTTGCAAGAACAACAATCAGGTTCTAAATTGCCACCTTCTCCATCATCAGAATCGGAGGAGAGTGAAGGTAGGAAGCTACAAACTGGGTTAACGGCCACTGATACTGAGCAAGGAGCTGCAGTTACTAAAATTAATGAGCCAAACACAGAAAAGGGCGGGAAGCAGGTAGATCGCTCTTCCTGTGGATCCAACACACCTTCAAGTAGTGAAATTGAGACAGATGCTTTAGAGAAGGACGAGAAGGGTAAAGAAGAGCCTCAAGAATCTATTATTAACCTTCTTGCTGGAGAGGCTGCGATTCGGCGTTGTAGAAATTTCATCAGTCCAACTGAATCTTGGAAAGAAGTCTCTGAAGAGGTAATGAAAGCTTTGGTTCTTGTAAGTCCTCCAGTGACCATTTCTTGCTTTAATGAATTTCTGTCTGTCACCTTTTGTTACAGGGACGGATAGCTTTCCAGGCTCTTTTCACCAGAGAAGTGTTGCCTCAAAGTTTTTCTCCTTCACTTGATCTGAAAAATAAGGGAAAGATCATTCTTGAAAAGTTTAAGCAAAGGCCAGACGAGAAAGTTCAATGTGGACCGCAGTTAGACCTTAATGATCTGGCATCCAATATCTGTTCCAGTCACCAAACAATGGAAGACAATGCGTTATTAATTGGCAACAAAGAAGATGTAGAAAAATGCCTACCAATGATAGAACTTGGACAAGTAAGGTTGAAAGCTCGCCGTACTGGATTTAAACCTTACAAGAGGTGCTCATTGGAGGCAAATGATAGCAGGGTGACAAGTTCAAACTGTCAGGATGAAGAAAAAAGCTCGAAAAGACTTCGATTGGAAGGAGAAGCTTCTACTTAGTGTTGTGTCAATGTGCAATTCTACAAGGGAACCTGTCTTGTTGCACGGAGAGCTCTATTCTACCCTGTCATTATCTTTTCCCAGTTACGTTGTCTAGTTCTAATGTACACGAAACTTATCGTGTAGGTGTGTACCATATTATTTTTATGTTCTGTTTTAATTCGACTTGTATGCAAAGGGACTTTGAAGAATGAACTTAAATGTGGATGTCTTCAACAATCATAGCAAATTTAATGGACCTTGATTGGACCAGTTCCTCGGAAGATTTCGTTTGTGTTTATGTTGACGGTTTTTTATGTGAATTTGGCGGGTCGTAAGAATCAAGTTAGCATATTCCATTAATTTTTCTGTATAAATGCTCAACCAGTGAGAAGACACTTGCATGCCAATGTCACACTTTGACCTCTCTGGGGAGTGGGGAGAACAGTGTACCGAACTGATCTGCAGTTTGTATTAGTACAAAATGTTAACATAGCAGGCCAAAACTTTGAGAAAATCTCTATGCCTATCAGACTTTCTAAATTAAGGAATGCATATTGGAGAATGACAAGAAATTTCACCCTACAAATATAAAAAATTGCAAGACAAAGATGGACCACTTTCTTGTATAATGTAGTGATACAGTAACTAAGTGTTACTTCACATGAGCAAAATATTACGAGGCTACAAGTCATACTCATATAACTCTTTGATTTGTTCATCTAAGACTCTTAATGTTTCATATATGAGTCCTCTCTGTTGGTGAGAATAGTCACCAGCAGCAAATACACTTTTCTTCCTTTCCACTTCAATCCAACTGCAACCAACTGGCTTCTTAAGATCTCTCATTTTCATAGACCTCCTTATCTCTAAGACGCCATCCCATCTAGCATTTGCAGCATACAGATTTGACATGACTATATAATTCCCGATATCATTAGCATTAACTTGAAACAGGCGATTAGCCGCAGCACAACCCACATCAACCTCCTGATGGATTTTACAGGCACCCAGAAGCGTTCCCCATACATCCGCATCAGCTTGAAAGGGCATCTGGGTCACAAAGGAAAACGCATCTTTAATTCTACCTCCACGTGCAAGTAGATCCACCACACAGGCATAATGCTCCATGCTAGGTTTGATTTGATGCGTCTTTTCCATTGAATCAAAGATCTTTAACCCTTCATCCACAAGGCCAGCATGACTACAAGCAGATAGTACTGTAGTTATTATAACATGATCTGGTTTAAAGTCCATCTCAAGCATATGATAGAATATCCCAAGTGCTTCTTCTCCCATTCCATGCATAGCATACCCTCCAACCATTGCTGTAAACATAACAAGATCTTTGACCGGAGATGATTGGAAAAGCTTGTATGCATATTTTAGAGTAGCACATTTAGAATAAACATCTATGAGAGCCCCAATCAGATAAACATCATCATCCAGAAAAGCCCTTATCACATATGCATGGCACTGCTTTAGCAAGTTGCTTGAGGCCATTTGAGCACAAACAGGAAGGAGGCTCAAAATGGACATGGCATCAGGCCTCATTTTGTGATGCTCTAACTCGGTAAACAGACTCACCGCTTGATCAGGACAATCATTTTCAGCATAAGCTCTTACCATCAAATTCCAAGTGGTAAGATCCCTCTCGGTCATCCTCTTGAATATGCCATGTGCATCTTCATGCAGACCATATTTCACAAACCCTGAGATCATTGAGTTGCATGTGATTACATTATTGCTTCCTGATAAATTCTCAAATATTCTGTTAGCATATTTTAAATTGCAACACTTTGCATATGCATCAAGTAAGGCATTAGCGAGAGTAGGTTCAGTATAACTTAACAAAATACCAGATCTTACTGAAAAACCATGTGCTTCTTTAACCTTTTCCAGTCTGGAAATGTTAGCAAAATAGCGCACCACAGCCAGTAATGTGATGGAGTCAGCTTTCATCCCCTCTCTAAACATCTCCTTTAACAAGATAATAAATTGTTCGTGAAGTTGGTTTTCTGCTAAGGCATCAAGCATAGTGTTCCAAGATATCAAGTCTTTATTAAAAGTCAACGAAAATAGGTGACATGCCTCTTTAATGTTTCCACATTTTGCATAAAAACTTATAAGGGCATTAATCACAGAGATATCCTGATGGAGGAAACTATGACGAATTACATACCCATGGATCTGCTTCCCGATCAACACATTATTGAGCTGTGGACATACTGGAAGAATGCTCATAAGAGTAACAGAGTCTGGTCCACTCATCTCCTCTTTAGTGAATTCACGGAAAAAATCCAATGTCTTCAACCATTCACCATTTGCTGCATATCCAGCAATTATTGAGTTCCACGATACCAGATCTTTACTTTTCATATTCCGGAACAAAGTCTCTGCTCCTTCAAAATTCCCAACCCTCAAATAGCAGCTCAAAAGAGCATTGATGACAGTAGCTTCTGACAACAACTCAACCCGTCGCAAAACATAACAATGCATCTGCCTTCCCAAGTGGTAACCATCTATCCCTCCTAAACTAGGACAGGTAGGAATAATATTAGCAATAGTTGCATAATTAGGTAGAACAGAACCTCTCAACATCAACCTGAACAATTCAAACGCCCTATCTGTAAGCTTATTCTCTATCAAACCTGCAATCATTGCATTCCATGAAACAACATCTTTATCAGAAATTCCACGAAAAGTAGCTTCCGCATCTAAAACATTCCCAGATTTCGCATACATGGATACGAAAGCATTTCCTACCAAGGTTTCACATTCCAACCCATGCTTTACCGCGTAACAATGAAGACTTTTTCCAGCACCCAAAGCTCCAGAACGAGCAATCACAGGAACAACAATTGCAAGAGTAACAGAAGTTGGCTTAGGATAACATGCTCTTTGCATTAAATTAAACAACTTTTCCATCTCCATTTCATGTAACGGCGAACAAGCAAATCCAGACAAGACAATATTCCACATGACTGTGTCACTATAGTTAACCGTACGGAAAAGCTTTTGACAATCATCAAGATGTTTAGATTTAGCATACATATTAAGCAAGGCTTTTATAACAAATTGACATGAATGATGACCTAACTTAATAACACAAGTATGTAAAGCTTTCCCCAACATCCCATCTGATATGGAAGCACAACATTTGAGTACATTTGCCAAGATTTGGTAATCAGCAGTTGGATTTTGTATTTTTGGGATAAGGCTAGAAAGTAAGTAGTTCATTCTTCATGCTTAAAAAAACCCCACTTTCATGTTTTGATTATCCCCAAATATCAACATTAACACTCCAACTGTACCAATTCAATCAGTGAGTATTGCTTACAATTCCTAACTTCAAATTCCAACAAACTCAAGTCATAGAAACACTTAAATTCTGCACCCAATTTTGGTGAACTATATTTTTTCACAAATAAATCGATGTAGAGAAAAGTAAGGAACTTACATACATACATACAACAGAGGGAATTCAAAAACACTCCGGTCATACAAATATTCATAAAATTGAAAGAGATTACGGATAAATTAGTTAAGTTGGAGTAGTTTTTTTAATCCTTTTTTTTGTATAAAGTAGAGAAACCGAACAATTCAAAACTTGCGGATATATTGATTATTAGGGATGACAATTGGGTTGGTTCCATTAAATTTGGGCTGATCAAAATGGGTCAAGACAATAAACAGATCAAGACTCAATTCAACCCAAATTTATTTGGACAAAAATGGGTTGGGTCAAAACAGGTTAATAACGGGTCATATCCCAACCCGCTCAATTTTTACTAAGTTCTAATAGCTTTATTTGTTATTTTATAAGCTTCTAGTACCTAATAAAATTATTTTTTTCTTATTATATAACATAGAAAATAAAATAAAATGATTTTTAATAATATTTTGACAAGATTTCTCAAAAATCAATTTGGGTTACATATCAACCCAATTTTTAATGGGCTAAGCTAACAAATGTGTGGGTCAATAGCCAACTCATTTGGCGGGTTGGGCTTGATTTTGCCACCCCTAATATTGATCCTTCTCTCGATATACATAAGTTATGTAGCAGATACATAACTATAAATAAGATTTATACTTATTTAGATTTGAAATAATTAGAGTTATGTATCAACAATAACATTTGTACTGGATATATTGTACATAAATAAAGTTGTAATGTATATGACAAAGGTGGACTGATGTACCGGATGTTAAGAGAAGCAAGGAAAAAGGGATTTTTGTGATTAATTCAAATGATAGAGATTTTTAGAAATTATGTTATCTTAAATCGTGTAATTATACAATTTTCCCAAAAAAAAATTACCTTAAAAGGTATTAAAGTAAATAAGTTATAAGAATTGTTAAAAAAAAATTGAAAAAATAAAGGAAGCAAGTGTAATATTATAAACCACAAGGGAGGTTGATATGACACAACAAAACTTAAAGGAATGTCTATGAAATTGTCCAGTTTTTTTATACAAAACTAGTTATTTTAGAGTAATATAGTATCGTTTGGAGGTGATTTATATTTGTTGGCGGATCAAAATTGAGAATAAAAGTTAGTTCATTAAGGAAGAAAAATTGACTGGTCAACAATACATAACGTATACCAACCATCATTCTAATAAAAAAAATTTATTGCATGTACATATTGATGAGTAATCCTTTCTTGTACTACTTAACATAGTGTAGAACAATTTAGAAACATCAATTTAAGGGGGAATTAAACCACACCAAAATGGGATCATTCGTGCAAATGACCCATTAGCAATCTCCCAAAGAGCTCCTCTATGTGTGTGGGCTATTTTTTTTCCAATACAATCCAATTTTACAAGATAATCACAAAACTATTAATCATAACTCGTACTTTTACACACACTTCACATTACACCATTACATACACACAATCATATAGAGAGAGCATGAGAAAGACATATCACATACTCACATTTCTCTTCTTTTTTTCTCGCCCACCTCACACATGTGATCAGAACTTTCACAAGAAACCTTTGGATATAACAGTCATTAATATTGAAATTTTTTATCTGGCTCGATAATTTGATTTTCGATGATTTATGTTCATCCCTAGTTAGAAGTATACCAAGTCATTTCATAATAACTTCAAAAATGTTAAATTGGTTCATCGAAGAATACAAGCAAAAGTGTGGGGTATATATATGTGTATATTACATTGTATAATTATGTGTCCGCCCATATACCTGTATATATCCCTTGTATATCTGTGTACCTCATATATATATATATATGCCACGAATTTTGTTTATGATATACATTTTATATACATGTGATACACATTATTGCAGTGATGTTTTCCACATCAACTTTATATGATTATATCTGAATTGTTTTTCTTCAGTAACCACTCTGAATGACTTCCAATCTTCCTCAAATTTTGTATAATCTTCCTCAACGAATTCGTAACACATAAAACAATTACTAAGCTTCATTTGAGTCAACAATTTTGTGCTATCAACAAATTGTGGCAAAGTCAATTATATTGTTACAAGTGTTCAAGATTTTATATATATATATATATTTATATATATTTATAACGAAAAGTATATTTTAACTAAGGTAATCAATCAATTCATTGTATGTGGCTACGCCAAGCGTAAAATACCTCTAAGTAGGACTAAAGTAATATCCTGCTACTTGTAATTCTTTAATTGATATGAATAATATTTTTCATATGGAAGATTATTTCCTTTTTCTTTCAGATAAACTCAAACTAACACTTGGACTATACAAATGTTGGATGTCCATGTCACAGAGTTTGATACAAAAGGATTAAGGCACGTAGATGATGGTAAACACCAACTAAAATTTAAAATTTATGAATTTTATTAGCGATTTCAAATAAATGTAGAATTATATTTAAATTCATAATTAATTATATGTAATAAATATTTGAATACATATACATGATATATATATGGACAAAAATTATTAAGTTTCGTGAATCATAACTAACACGCTGAACCTGCCTAGGTAGACAAATGAGAGACACAATTTATGTATCACCATCAAGAAATGAAAGGATTTTGGTAGTTGCTACTAGCTCCCAATTAATTATGTTGTAGATTGATTTGGACTTGGGATTTAATAGACCCTTGAAATTGAATCTGGCTTAGAAATATCCTCGTAAAAACTAAAATCTTCAAAATAATAGAGGTGTAATAGCATTTTGATAATGACTGAAAAATTGTTTTTTATCTGATTAATAGGAATTTCTTCCCTCCCAAAGAATTTATTTAAAATTAGATCGAAAAGTAAGAATTTGTAATTGAAATCAAGATAAACATAATGAGAAGAATTCTCTTCACACATGATGCTAAGAAGCAAGTTTCTATATAAAAAAAAGAAATTTTGTTTGTGTACCACAAATTGGAATGGCTTACTCTTTCATTCTTAATTAAAAAAATTAAATTTAAATTTTATTAAATATAAAATTATTTTTATTAGAGAGCAAATATTTTGATATAAATTTAAATTTAATTGATTTTAATGCAAATATTGTACGAGTGGAAAAAAATGATAGACAGATAGATAGAGTGGAATATATTTGTGAATATTTTTAATTGTTTAATAATTAATTGTAGATATATATGAGTACATTTGGGTTGTCAATTGACATATGGTAATACAAAACAAATGAAAAAATCTAAAATATTTTGTGAATGGCTAAAATCAAGATCGCTTTCAAGATGACAGAAGAGCAATTAATGTGATACTACATAATTCTCCACTCAAATATTAAACCTACACCTCATCTTATTTGAAGATTCCTAGTTTTACATAATAATATTAGGAACTAGTAATTCATGGAGATGTGTTCTTTTATATATATATAAAGAGTCTTTGGATGCAGAAAATATTTTACCTTAGAAAATTCATTTAAATTTCTCTTGATATCACATAAAAAAATCCTTCTCTCTTCTTCAATAAAATTATTCTTTTTCCTATTACTTTTCTGAATAATAATTTTATACAAACTTCAGACTTCTAATCATTTAAAATTAATACACATATTTGGAATCAGAGCAAAATTACTTCTTAGACAGTAACTTGCCACGACACTATATATATATTGTGACAATTTACTTACTATTTTCAATTTTAATTCTATATCAATATTTTGTTAGTTTCCCAAATAATGTCCATAAGAAATGATATAGGGTAGAGTGATTGCTTTAATAATTATGATGACTTGTATTTCCGTTTGATCAACCAAAACAAAAAAGGGGGGAACAACTCAACAGCTCAAGTATATATATGCCTTCATAAATAAACTGGTGGTTTATTAAAAACACATACTGTATAAAAATACTAAAATCCAAAAATATTGAAAAGTTGGTTTTGGTAAGAAATAATATTCATGTGTTCAAGGTATACTCAATTTGCTGTTTACAGCAAGTTTCTCCAATGTATATCACACTTTGTGTTTGTTGGCAGGACTACAAAGACTTAGCTCAAATTATATTCTCAAAAAATTATTCTACTGTCAAAATATATTATTTTGCTACATAAAATCTTGTAGTAAATTTTTGATTTAGAACGAATATCAGTTATTTTAAAAATTAATTACAAATATTGGATGACTTATGATACTTGAATCTTTTTTATTATTAACACTATGTTTGGAGGTTTGCTTATGTTTCATCATAATGTATCATATTATATTGTATTGTATGATTCTAATGAATACAATGTTTGGATCATTCTCCGTCGTCACCACATATCTATAACTTGAATGATAAACCTACAAGAAAGTAGGATATGAGATAGAATTAACAACTATGAAAAGGTTAGATAAGGTAAATGATAAAATAGAATTGTTAAATAATAAGTAAAGACAAAATGAGAAGATAATATTAAGGTAATAACGCGATCACACCAAATCTATTGTTACATAAAATGGTTCTAACAGTGGATTTAAATGATATGAAACAATATAATTTCAGTAACAATCAAAACAAACATTGTATGGATCAAACTAACAATATAACACAATGGGTGTCAACCAATATCCAAACAAGGTGTAAAGCAAACCATTAAAACTATAGTCATTTAGGTGCCAATAAGAGTCGTGGATGAATATGATTCTTTCACTTTAGTTAAAAATTTCAGGTTCGAGTTTTAAACATGAAAAATGAAATCATATTAGAGAGAATGACGTAACTACAAATATCAAACAAAACCAAAAAAAAAGAAGAGAGAAG